CAAGGAGGACAGCTTTATAAGGGACTAATCCAAACACAGACATGATCCTGCCCTTGCCTTTGGTGTTAATGTTATGATACAGCCCTGCTTTGCTCCATTTTCAGCATGAGTGCACTTACATATCTAGCAAGGGGCCTTTTCCACCCCCTGTAGAAAGGGAAATAAAATATATCAACAACCTAGTGAAAAGTAGTTCTGGAATAACTCAATATGTGGAGTTACACTACTGTAACTGTGCCATCATCTAAGACTGTGCTTTTTGTATCAGGGAGAAAAAGGATTTGATGTCCAGATATGCACAGGAACTCCTTAAACCTTACGAGTTTGGGCCAGGTAGGAAAACTCTGATAAGTTTTGTGGTCGGTCTTTGAGATCACAGCTTGGCTACTTGTTTGTTCCATATTGTTCAGAAGTCAGCTTGCTGAGTTCAGACCAGCAGCTGTAGCCACATTTCCTTCATCTTCTGGGCCCCTCCTGATCATTAGCTAGTGACTCCTTGTCAGTACCAATATAGAGTACCCCATGAGGATCTCTTTTTTGGGACTTTTTGGGTCAGCGATGGCAGAATCTGCTCCTTCTACAAATAAAGTCAAGACAAGCCATCACTCACTCTGAAAGAGGCCGGTAGGAACTTGGGAACTGCCATGCAGCTAGTTCATTTAATTGAGAAGCCTGTCACAGACACTGAGATAGCAAAAAGAGGCACCTTTTCTGGGGGATCCTGTCCTGATGGCTGATACTCTGCAGACTATTAGAAGTTGCTAAAGTTGCAGTTTCATAGAAGACAGCCTTAGAGGGGGGACAGCAGAGGAGGTGGTTATGACTGTGGCTCTGTGTCCCTGCCTAGGTCCACTGGGCACCTTTTTCCCTGTTAAGGGGACACTAAGGCTGCGTTATGACACTGTATGAGAAGTCCAGTCTCATGGTTAAATCTTCAACCCTGTCTACAACCACTAGTTCTGAGCAAATATGATATAGTTGCCTGCTGGAATCTAGACAGCAGTGATGCGTTTTTCTCACATTGGAAAATGGCATTTAGCATTGGGGCTGCACTGGCAGACCCCTTTATTGACAGATGATGGACATGGGCACAACTCGGAATTATGGCAGCTCAGTGAGCTGCCACCCAGGAGCTTCCCTGACTGTGAGCTGAGCACGATATCGGGTCCAGTGAGCTCCTCTTAACTCAGTCATGCTGACCATACTGTGCCATGGGCTTGCTCTACACTTTGGAGCTTTGGCAGCTTGGTTATGTCAAACTGCCATCAGATGTTGTTCTGATCAAAGCTGATCTGTGCAAAAGAGCTCCTCTTCCTAGTGTGTTTTTTCTTCAGATTTGCTGGCATAGCCATTTGTATAATTGCTTTGTAATCCAGTTGTGCTGGAATGAAGAGTGTTGCTTTAAATACTTTTAATGGAAAATTATTTTTTCTTTTAATCCTTGGCAGAGGATGAGGGTAACCCAGCAAAGAACTGCACATCCACCTGTGGCCTCTTTTAAGAATATGGAAAACTAATCATCTTCTGACCTAGCAATAAAGGAAGGGGGGGGAATAGAGGTACATAAAAATATTTTGAAATCTAATTTATTATTATCAGGTAACTGTTTTGACCTGCACTTATCAGGGAGACTGTTGTTCTGGCAATCCATTAAATTTTAGACTTAAGTGTGACCTTAAATATATGTATAAATGGGGAACAGTGGAGAGTGCTGGGAGTTGGAAGGAACATAAGTTCCTTCTTATGTTAAACGAGAGGGACAAACTAGTTGCTAAACAGGGTTTGTCAATGGGTATACCTGCAGTCTGATTTTTGCAAGCACAGGACAGAAAGCTTGTTAGCAAAGTAAAGGAGTCTAATAGTCTCTCACAGAGGAATGCTTTGTTATGTTGTCTGAGCAGTATCAGACATTTAGGTGTTGATCTGATAACCAAGTTTATTCCAGGTGTGTCACCCCAGTGTCATCTTAAGCAAAGATCTTCTACCTGCAAAACAGTTTGTCCAAACCTGGGAATTTGTTCTAGTTTGTTTGGGTGCACAGGCTACACAGTTAGCGCAGCAAGTCAGCTATTAATGGAATCTATGCAGTAAGTAATTCAATCACTTCTTGCTGCTCAGGTTTTATTTTGCAGGGTGGTTCTTTGTCCAGTGAAGCTAGTTCAAGTTAACACAGTGTTAGATTATAAACTCCTCAGGGATGATTTGCCTAGTGTTTTGCAATGGATTGAGCACATGATAAATGCTTATATGGGTTTTGCATTGTCTGTCTTCTCATAACAGAATGTCTGACTTCAGAAGCAATACATGCTCTAGCTTATTACGTTCAGCTGCTGCCTTAATTCAGTCAAGGTATATATAGTTCTGAAGTCATTAAATCCGTATTTGAGAGTCTTTCCAAATGCAGTACTTGCTTTTTATTTTTAAAGTCCTGCCCAATTACTAGAAAATTAGCACCCTACCTATATGTTCTTGCCTCAATTGACCTTTTTTCTTTGTTTCCCCCCCCCCCTTCCTTTTGCATCCAGCAGGTTGAGAACTTCTGATTTTTTTTGCACATGTTTCTATGGCAACAGATTATAGGTTCACAAAAGGAAGGATTATTGCTTTTTATCCTAAATAATCCAGGATTTAGCAATTTCTTTTGCCTACATTGTGAGAATGAAAGGCTGCTATTTAACCCTTGGTAGCACTTCCTCAGCCTCAGGAGTGAGAAATGAAATCCTGTTTGGAAAAGATGGAAAGGTCTTGATTATTACTAAGGATTTGGTCTCCAATATTAGTTCTCAGATAGGGTTTGGCATTGGTTTATAGCATGCATGCTTTACTAATTTTTTGGCCTGTGCTGTCCACTTCTGTGTTATCCTTGAAATTAGTGCTTCTACCTACTCTGTCATGTCATGAAAGTTAGAGACTGGTGGTAGATGGAGACTGAAGCGTGGCGTGTCTTATTTCCATGGGTGCCAGAGGGTGACACGGCAGTGGCAGGAAGGTGGGATCGTAGCACTTTGTACAGTACGAGGACCTGTGCAATAACCTACATCAGAGGACGGAGTTTAGGTTGTGGTTGCTATCGAAGTCAAGGTGCAGTAGATTTGTGTTTTGGTGGTTAACATGCTGAAGCCTATGCATTTTATTTTCATAGCTTTTACACCTATGATAGTGAGACGAAACACCACCCACGGGTGTTGCTGTCCATCCTTCATATGGCCATTTTGACATGTGGTTTGCTTGGCTTTTAGGCAGTGGTAGCTCATAGATAACTCGGACTAGGAACCTAGATTTCTATCTGGTTTAAACTTTTTTTTTTTTTTTTTTTGCCTGTCAGTTTCAATGGTGGTATTTTTAACTCGGATCACTTACTGTTTTGAGACCCCTTGGCAGCGAACAAAGTCAAGCAGTGAATACTCATTTTAAGAGGGATGTGGGTGTATGCATCTATTTTGAGATGAGAATCTGTCACCCTAGTAGCTCCAGCCATTTTCTTTCAGCATCTGGCAGGGAATCCTCTGTGTGCTCTGGCTTTTCAGGCTTCTTTCTGGTGCTTCATTTCAAGCTTATTTTCATCGTTAGTATTTAAAACAGGAGGCCCAAGCATCACTTGAGGGCTTGATATTTTATAAACCGAGTTTCAAGACATGGTCTATGGAAATGGGAGTGGGGAAGAATCTTCATTGTAGGCATCCAGCTACAAAGGTGATGGCTGAGAGAGAAGCCAGCTTAACTAAGGGCAGAACTACCTGCCTGTCTGGTTGCAGCGTGCCAGACATCGCTTCTGCAGCGTTTGAAAGATGCTTTGATAGACACTATTGCAGCAGAGCACAATTCCTAGACCAGGAAGAAGAGATGTTGCTCTCAACTGGTGAACACTTTGGCTGCTGTTAATGCTTTCCAGGCCCTCAGTGAGCCTCCCTGCTCAGTCGCTTTCACTGCTGCTTTAGAAGCTGTCCGGTGGGAGGCATGTCGATTACTTGAATTAGGCAGCAAACGGGGATGGTGGCAGCTGGGTCCATCTGTCTCTGCATAGCTGCCATAGTGAGTCCCTGCCTGGGCTTTGCCTGAACAGCTGCCTTCCCTTGGAGGTGTGATTTGGACTGGTTCTGATAAACCCAGACAACTGGGCTGTGCTGCCTTGGCCGGCCGGGAAGCTTCCTCTTGGATATTATACCCAGTTGCAAGAAAAATGCAGACCTTCTTTAGCAGGCAGGCTCAAGGGCCAGGCCACTGAAGTTCTTTGCTCAAACATCTGTCACAACCTGTTGCAATGGGGCCATGTCACAGCTGTTTCTCTTGTAGTGACTTGTTTTAATGGGATTGTTTTAAAAAAACAAGAGGCTCATGGATCCAGGTTATTAGTCTCTGCCTCTTCAGTTCCAGTGCATAAAAACTGGGGAAGACACAGTGATTCCTCAGTTCCTTCTTATGTATCTAAAGCTGTGAAGAAACAGCTTTTTACAGTGCCTGAACCTTGGGATAATTTAATATGCCCTTGTCCTTGAAAAATTTTGTTAACAAGCAGGGCAGACAAAACTGTAACCATGAGCCCATTTCCTAGGTACCTGAGTACTGTCATCTGCAGTTCTTGTGGATTGTAACTTCCGTTTCCCAAAATCCTCTGTGTTAAGCAATGACTCTACTGCACCTTCTGCATATATTAACACTGCTGATTATGGAGAGGACTTGCATTCCCAAATATGCTTCTGAAAAGCAGTGAAGTGTGTTAGTCACAAGGTTGTTACTAAAGTTCTAGCATGTCCGTGGTACTAGCACAAAGAGATGTGAGCATCAGGCAGAAATTTATTTCTATTTTGGACTAAAGATGGACTAAACCTCCATCTTTTCATTGCTAAAATGACTGCTCTGAGTCATACCATTAAACATACTGAATGGGAAGGTTGATTGTTATTCCAGCCTCTCTTGCATTTCCCTGTTTGAGAGCCATTGCTTTCCTCTACATCAGCTGAAATCAGTGTTGATGCCTATTACATTTCCTTTCCTAACAGGAAGAAGCCCACACATGTGACAGTGAACTGCTGGTTCTGCAATCAGGACACAGTAGTGCCATATGGGAATCGCAACTGCTGGGATTGCCCCAACTGTGAACAGTACAATGGGTTCCAAGAGGTACAGTGACACATTGCTTGAAGGGTGGCTGGGAAGGTGCATGCCCTGTGGAACAGTGCTTGCGGGAGAAGCCCACTCCTGCTTTTAAGATGGCACAGGCCCAGTGCAGATGAATATCCAGCGGTTCGGCAGCTGGCAGCTCTGTCCTGAACACCTGTGAACTCAGCAGCTGATCACTTGATCAAATTTGAGAAAGAGTCCATTTATAATGGGATGTGCTGACATAGAATGATGACAAATTTTCTTCTCTTCCTTCAAAGGGCAAAAAGGGCCTTCACACTTTCATCACTATCTCTTAAGAATCTTTTTTTTAATATATGGAACAAGTCTTCTCTGGTTTTGTATTTTGGAACAGCTGAATTGCTTTATTTAGAGTATTAAATAACAGAGTTTGTCTTACACCAAAGTCCACCACCAACAACTGCTTGCAATAGGCGTACAGAATAGTAGATGGGGGAGGTTTGAAGCATTTTGTCTCTTTTTTTTTTTTTTTTTTAACTTATTTCTTTTGTTACATAGGCAAATGCATGGAGACCAGTGCTCCTGACAGAGCTTAGGAAATCTTGTTATTAACCAGAGGATGCCTAGCTTTGACATTATGATCTCATGTTTGCTTTTTTCCTCCTGCCTCCTTTGTTGCTTCTTGTCAGAATGGAGACTACAACAAGCCCATCCCTGCTCAGTATATGGAACACCTTAACCATGTTGTATCAGGTGCTACAACTTTCTGTGATCCTACCAAACCGCAACAGTGGGTGAGCAGCCAAATTCTGCTTTGCAAGAAATGCAACAACCATCAAACCACGAAGATCAAACAGCTGGCTTCGTTCTCACCAAGGGAGGAGGCAAGTGTTCGTTAGGGACTGGCATCACAGAAGAACATTTGTCCAAGGCATTCCCATGCATGTGTCTGCAATTCCTGCTCTGATGAATTTGCTCTGTGAAAATTTATTTTGTCTGGCTTTGCAAACAGTACCATGCTGCAGCCTTGTAAGCAGGAGAGAGAGGAATTTTTCAGTGTGCTGTGGAATGGTGTTCCATGAGTCTTCAGAATCACTATGTGGCACTCCAGTGCAGAGAAGGTTACTCATTAATGTTGCAAATCTACCTAATCCTACTCCAAAGCCAGAATGTAATGACCTGTTCTAGATGGACACTGGAAGTTGAAGCTTGAGCCCCAGACCAAACATACTTATCGCTGAGATCAGCTTATAACTCCAGTACTTGCCATTGACCCTGCTGAGCTTACGGGATCTGGTAGGCACAACAGCCCACTAGTCACCTTGAAGCCTTAATAGATTTTGATTTTCCTGAGGCCTTGACTGTGCTGCTCCGCTTTTACTAGTGGAGTGGGAGAGGAATCCTGTGCAACCACATCATCTCCCTGGTTAGGCATTTGTGCCTAGGAGGGCAAAGGGATTGATTTTTGCAGTTACAGCAGCAGGATTTCTTGCTGAGCAACTTCTTGGCCTTCCTATTACTTAATATGCATGGAGGATAGGATAGTGGGGTTTCTCCTTCCCAGTTTTATAGCCCCCCTAAGTTTCGTGCAGCAAATTTAGTGCTGCACTCCTTAGCTTTCAACCATGGTCAAGCCTTGGGGTTATAAGACTGCGCTGTAGTGGGATGCGTTTACCTTCTGGGTTGCCTAATCCAGTCTGCTTTGTGTATAGAATCAGCATAATTGCTGATTGGGCCACAGAAATTCAGCACCCTGAAATTGGGCCACAGCAGCTTTCTCCAAGGGCAGTTTTGTCTCTTCTGGGACATGGGGGCTGGGTCAGCTGTATGCAAAGCTGGTTGTATGTCTGGCCTCCAGCTTGGTCACTATTCAAGCCTGGTTTCAGGGGCCTGTTCCTCTGGAGACTGGAAGCATGCCTTGCTCACATGTCAGCAGCAAGCACGATAACTGGTGAGGAACGTGCAGTCCTCACCTACTTTTCCTCTCCTGTTCTTTCACCAGGGCAAATATGATGAGGAGATTGAGGTGTATAAGCACCACCTGGAGCAGACCTACAAGCTGTGCCGTCCATGCCAGGCTGCTGTGGAGTATTACATAAAACATCAGAATCGGCAGCTCCGGGCGCTGCTGCTCAGCCACCATTTCAAACGCCGTGAGACAGACAAGAACTATACTCAGGTACTTGGGGGGACAGATGAGGGAATTTAGGGGAAAGCACAGAGAAGTGGGTACCTCTGTGTCTGGGTTTGCTGCTGGAAAAGGAAGGCAGCGGCCTTGGGGCTTTCTAACTCTGGGAGCTTGGGTGCGTGGTAGAGTTTAGAAGAGCACAGGATAGTTGCCACAGATGCTCCTGATGTTAGTTTGAGGCTTTCCTCGTGCTGGTGTCATTCAGTGCAATTGCTAGAAGGTAAGTCTAATTAGTAACAAGAACAGAATGGAAGGAAGATAGTGGGACAGGCAGAAAAGGGGAGATAGGGAAGCCAGTTTATGAGTACAGTGCAGGCAACTACAGAGTAGAGGGGGAAAAAAAGAAGTAGGAACAATGGGAAGTGAATTGTGACCTTTTCCTTGCCTCTCTGCCCTGCTTGAGCTTGTCTTTTGCTCATAGCTCTGCTGTTGCTCTTTGCTAGTGATGTCAGCCCAGTACAGAGACTTATAAGGACTTGAGCAGAACTGTCCAATAAACCATACAGTCTGGAAGTGTTTCATAAAGCACCATTTCAAAACCTTATTAGACTTCATTCAGCTTCTGACAAAGTGTTTCTCCCTTCCTCTGCAGAATTTATGTTCATCCTCCTCTTCAGCTTCCATAAGCACACCAGCTCAGGTGATATTCCTGCGGTTCTTGGCCTTCCTCAGCTGTGCGTTCCTGGTTCTGATGGCCTTGTATGGATCAGGCGACCCCTTCTCACTCAGTGCGGCAGTTCCTGCACCTGTCTCCTCTGGTCCAATATCTATTTGGAACAGGACTGGTACAAACTCACATGCAGACTTGGAAAATGACACTTCCGTGACAGTGGCAGGCTGGCAGGAGCTGCTCCACATGCTCCCAGAACAGATGGTAGAGAACCTGAGTGCTGCGTGGGCTTATGGGAAGAATCACCAGATGGCAGTCGCTGTCCTTGGCCTGTTCACCTGCCTGTTGGCCATGTTCTTAGCTGGGCGGATCAGGTGGGTGTGTGCTTTTCTTCTGTTTCACTTAAAGGAAAACTGCATTACATTGGAGGTCTTTTGCTCAGTCTTGACTCAGTGAGCCAGGGGGTAAAACGTTTGCTAGAATGGCACACGTAGTACTGGGTGGCACGGTTCTCCCTGTTCTTTGGGTTGCCAGCCGGCTGGATGGAGACAGCAGAGCTTGCTTTGGATCTGTGCCTTGGTTCATTCAATTTAAACTTGAATTACCGTGAATGAAAAGCTCCCTGTGCAGCTCTGTAATCTGGTAGAAAATGGAACTGATCTATTCAGGTAATTCCCACAGGAGTGGGAAGGGCTGCAGATGATAGAGCTGTAGTAGGAGATAGTACATAACCTGCTCAGTCAGTGTACCCTCCCCACCTTCCTTCTCCTTCCTCAGGACCCAAGGGGTTCATTGGTGTTTAAACTCTTACCATGTGTCTTGTTTGGTTTCTTTTTGGCATTGCAGGCTCCGGAGAATTGATGCATTTGCTTCAGTCTTGTGGTTCGTAGTGATGAGTCTGCATTTAGCTGAGAGGTACCTGAAGACAGAAACACCCAACTGGCTAGACACAGCCAAATTTGGCACCACATCCCTGTGCTGCTTGGTGGGCTTCACCGCAGCAGTGGCCACGCGGAAATCAACGGGCCATCGGAGATACCGGCCCCGAAGGTCAGAGCCAGAGCAGTGACGCTGGGGGAAGGAGGAAAAAAGCCTTGTGAACTCCTTGCAACTGGTGCTTCTCTCTCCTCTTTTTATTTTCCCTTCCTCTGGTTCTTTTTTTTTTTTTTTTTTCCAATTAGATAAGCAGTGAAGATCTCTTCTTCCTTTATTTTTTTTTTCTTTTTTCCCCATCCTTGCTTCCCACTGTGCTAGCTGCTTGGAGCATTTCCACTGCTGGTGCTAGCCATGGAAGCTACTCCTGCTGCCTCCATTCTCCCTTCCTCCTGAGTCCTACGTCAGCAGTGCAAATATCCAACTTCCCCAAAGCCAATTCTTCCAGCAGCTGCTTCACAAACTGCTCCATAAACGCAGCCTCTTCCCCATTCTGCTCCTCCAGCCAAAGAGATTCTGGCTTCTCCTGTCCTTCGGTTCTTCTCACTGCCTGTCCATCCTTAGCCAGTCACAGAGGAATCCTCTGCCTTGATGCTCCATGGGGCCCAGGCCACCTTCAGTTTTCTAATGGTGCTGGTCATTTTAATTTCGAACTGATGGGAACTTGCCTCTGGATTCTGAGTCCTCGTAATGTGTGCTGTAGTAACTCTGCATGGTGTACAGGCATGCGAGGAGGGGACCACACGTAGTCCATAACTTGGTGGTTCTTGCCTTCCACTGTGTAGCATCACTTAACTGCATGCTCTCTCACTCTGCCTTTCTCCTATGACTCCTATTTTAAATGGAGAGGCATCCTTAAGTGCTTTTGACTGGAAATTCAATAATTTATTTAAAAGGGTGCTTTAAAAGGTTATGTAGCTCAGGGTGTCTTGATTGAATATCTGAAAGTATTCAGCTGTTTTAGGATAAATTTTCGAATCTACCAGTGGCTGTTGCTTTCAATGCCAATTTTCTTTGGGTTTTTTACCTACCTGCCACTCCCCAAGGAACATCTATGTAAAAGCACAACTGGATAAAAAGGCATATGTTCCTCCACTCATGTAGCCTTAGAAAGAGAAGAAATATGGGACTAACAACCTCATGCTATGGTATATGGGCAGCTTTCATTGTACTTCACTACCTATTCAGTCAATGTTTTCCTTATTGTTGAGAACACAGATTAGGAGGATGTGCTATAGGAAGGGGTGGGACTGCATGGCAATAGAGATTAATTTTTCTTGTTACTTGGAGGGGTTCTTTTTTGAAGTCTGGCATTGGTGCTAATGCTGCTGAAGAAAGGGGCCGGGAAATTGTGACTTTGCCTGTCAGTCCTCTGCTAAAAGCTGGGGTAACTGGTTGTTACTGTGTGGGGACGAAGGAGCTTTCAGCTGCTTGGGTTTTTGTAGGATTAACTTGTTGGGGCCTCTTAGGATAAACAATCTGATGACCCTGCGCTGTTTTTTTGCAAGGCACTCCACTGAGTTTTTCATCCAGATTTGGGTCTTTCAGGAGGAAATAGCATTGTTACAGGAGATCTGCTATTTTCTTCTGTTCAGAATAGCACAATGGAACTTGCCACGCTAATCACAGACTGGTTTATGTTGGAAGGGACCTTAAAGCCATCTAGTTCCAGCCTGCTGCCATGGGCAGGGACACCCTCCACTAGACCAGGTTGCCCAAAGCCCCGTCCAGCCTGGCCTTGAACACTTCCAGGGGTGGGGCATAGTCTGATATAAGTTAATTGGGTGTCTTGATCTTCCTATGTAGAAACTCTAAAATAATCAGAATGGAGCTCTCTGTGAATTGCTGAAAGATTCAGACACTAATGGATGCTGCAGATGCTGGTGAAATTATAGAAGCTTCTATAAAGGAAAGAAAACATATTTCATAGCTTTTCATAGTTACTGTTCTTCAAACCAGTATTCATTGTGAAAGCAGAAAGGTAGCACTAACAAAAGCTCTGTAGAGATTCATTAACAATAAGCCAAGCTGAGTGTGTCATGGGAAGGTACAGCTTCTGGCTGAAGGACCACGTGCCTCTAACTTAACAACTGATGTGGGAAGGGGACGCACAAACCTGCTTCCCATATGTGCTGTCCTTCGGAATTTTCTTCTGGTGCCTTCAGATAACAGCAATATCCACCGCCAAGCAAACAGAACACCTTTCTCCATTCTGGTGCTTGTGAATGATGCTGCTCTGAGGGTTTTTTACTTATCCACAAAAGGAATCCAGCGTCTGCAAAGTCTGGTTCCGTATTCCCATCGTTTATCAATCCTGACCCAAAAGGTTTGTCTTCCAGCTCACGGTCCCAGATTGTTTCTCGCTCCAGTCTCAGACTTTCAAAATGCTTAAATGATAACCATCATGTCCCATTTTCCACTGGGACACTTTATTAAATTTAGAGGATTGTTTCAAAGTAAATACTACAGGAAGCCATGTGACTTCACCAAAACAGGAAAAAAAGCCAGCAAAAGTGTGCAGGGTCCTCAGTGCTGGGTTAGACTTTCACAATCACTCTGGCGCCTTTCTCCTACTCCCCATTAGGAGATTTAGCAGGAAACGTTCCTTAAAAATCCAGTCTTTTTTCTGTACCTGTCAGCCTGTTGGAGCAGGGAGCAATGTTCAGGCAGACAGTAGTAAACTGGTGAAAGGACAGGCAGTGGCAGGGGGAAAAAAAGGAGGGGACAATTTTGTGTATGGATGTGCTATCACTGTCTGCTTGACTTTCCTTTGGGTGCAGTGATTGCTGTAATGTTTTCACCCCTGGAAACCTCCCACTGCAGTGGGCCTTCCAACACCGTATTTCTGCAGCTCATCTGCTGTTAAAAGTGAGGTGGACAAAGCCACCTAATGAAACGGTCATTGGAACCAAATCCAGTGCCAGCTCTACCATTCTCTAAACAAGCTGCACAGAAGACCCAGGAAACCTTGGGCTATTATGTCCATTAACTGAAATAAGACATCTAGACTTTTTTCTTTCTCCCTTCTGCTTCAGTACTTTCAAGTTTTCCCCATGAAGTTAAATGTAGGCAAAGACTGATGTTTCTATTTAGCTGTGATTTTTGTCTTCTGCACTTACCTATACAAGTTGGATTGAAAGTTCCTACTAGCTTCTAGCACACAAACTTGCAACCGCTTGGTGTAGCAGAGGTGAGCAGTTCCTCTTGCTTCTCTGCTGTCAAGTATGTCCAAGTGATGGGAGGAATCTCATGTTTAGAAGGATATATTGAGACCGCTAGAAGGAGGAGGGGAGTGAGCAGCTGAAAAACTGTTAAAATGCATGGGGATGGTCATGGTAATCTCATGCCTGATTTATAATGACAATAGCCTGCCTTTTTTAGTAAGAATAAAATTAATCTGTCCACATTTTCTTGCCCAGTAGCAAGGAAACTCTCAAAGGCAACCTGTAAAGATGCTTGTCAGCCTCTTCAGATTTTTTGCTTTCACAAGCTGAAAGTTTCACTTTGTCTTGTTTCATGTGGCCTCCTAGCTCTTCTGAGCAGCTGTTTTCCTCCCTTCAAAAAAAAAAAAAAAAAGGCACTTTTTTTTTTCCTCTCTTTCAATTTAAACATGCCCCATCTTTGAGCTCCCTGGGGTTTGGCACCTTTTGCTGTTAAGCATTACGTTGTTTTCCTGAGCCTGGTCTTTTCTTTGATTCTCTTGTCTTTTTTTTCTGTGTTAGTACCATGATGGGATGGGGAGGATCCACACTAACTATCAGGAACAGGCAGTTGGTAGCACTGTGTGAAGGAGTGGGGTTTACACTGTGAAGCCTGAGTAATACTGTTAAGAAATATTTTAGCTCTGTTTGCACAGCAAGTGCAAATCTATACTGAGTTTAAAATCTTTTCATCTGGGACATATGTTAACTGCAGTTGACATGCAAGCAAGAAATCCATTTGTCTTCACTTTATGCAGATTAATACAAATGAAGTATATTTACAAATTGCACTAATTTTACATGTCAGAACATCAGAAAGCTACTTCATTTTATGGCCAAGCTGTACAACTGAAACCCTGGTCTCTATGGTGCTTTGTCCCCAAGTTGTAATTGAAGAACTTTTGGACTTATCATTGGAAAAATTTCAAAGGCAAAACAAAATGACAAAACACGTATTGAAGTGTGGTTCAATTTTAATGCCAAAGAAGCTTTTGTCTTTGCTCAGGTGTCAGCTTATTTTTCCACTTCTTGGTGCCTCAGCATGTCTGTGCTGCTGCTTCTAAAAATAACAAAAAACCTCAGAGCCTCAAAACCAAACTTGGAACAATTGGATTTTTGGTCTTTTAGAGACTCTGATGCTGACAGACTCCTCTCCTTCTGCCTTTCCCACATGCTTTTGCTGATGGTAGAGAATGATTGATTTTTTTTGGAGGAGAGGGAAGAAAGGAGAAAGGTGTTTTTTCCAGAGGTGTTGTGATTTATAAACTGCTAGCATTCAGTCTATACCAATTGTGTCTCCTTAGACAATTAGGCCTGAAGAAGATCATTTATAAGTTGGCAGTATGTTACTGTTGCCCATTTCTGGGAAAAAAAATAATAGTTACACCACCACTGCCTTTACTGAGACTGTTCCTGCCATACCCGATTTCACTGCCAAATAGACCATCCTAAACACTATGCCATGTTGTAGGTTCCATATGGAAGGTGCTTTGCCAACTTTGTGGGTTTTTTTACTCGAGGTTCAGTTAGGAAATAGCTCAGCAGTTAGATATGCCATCTAACTGCCTGGTTTCTTCCCCACCAGTGAGTCTAGCAGAAGGAAATGTATGCTGCTGGCTCAGGTTCTTCAGTGCCAGTCCAACACCTGAGCACAGTGCCACCATCCTCGTGAAGCTGAGGTGCTATTTTATGTGACACATGGGTGTATGTTTCCTTCTGCTGAGGGGGGTAATAGCTAACAAAGGGCTGGTAACTTACTACACTACTGACACAAAAATCATCCAGAAACACTTGATCGGTGCTTTGAGCTTCTTGTTTTCACTTAGCTGGACTCTTACTTCAGGCCACAGAGGAACACGTGGTAACCTGTGGTCACCAGATGCAGCTTTATTGCATGTGGATTCTTCCAGCCATGCA